AATTCATGTATACTTTGTTTTATGATTTTTTAATGCTTTAGTGAAATTTATTGTATATTTTGTTTTAAGAATTTGTTTAATGCTTTAGTGAAATTCATTGTATATTTTGTTTTAAGAATTTGTATTAATGCTTTAGTGAAATTCATTGTATATTTAGTTTTAAGAATTTTTATTCATGCTTTAGTGAAATTCATTGTATATTCTGTGTTAGCTATCATATACATGTCATAATTCAGTGTCAGTTGTACCTACCTGTCGTAATTGAGATTGACTATTGACAGTTTTAACTGTACCGAGAATTGCTTCAAAAGCCCATGGATTGGAGTGTCTAAGATAAAAAAAAATAGTTTGCATATTTGTTTTACATACATTGAATTTATGTAAATTGTAAATGAATGAGAAAAATGATATGACGACGGACATTACAATTCACCTAGTATAAAGTATAATTACAATTCACCTAGTATGTAAGTATAAAACCACATCTCACATTCTCATGATTTTTATGAAAACCTCATACCATGGAAAACACGAGAACACTAGAATAGCTTAATGCGAGGGCTGAAAATTCATTAATGTGTGGTTCCCTATAGTGTCAAACGGGGGGTAAAAATGTAAGGTATTTCATTATCTTATTGGAAAAATATATTTAACAGTTGTATTGTCAAAGCATTTTATCAACAACGTAATATGAAAACGAATGAAATTATTACAAAATGTTTATTCAAACCCACGGTACGAAACAGAATATTGGGAAGATGCATCACTGATATATGTCGTGTACATGAACACAATCATGAGCTGCAATCTGACGTAAATATGCATAATTAGAATGACAAAGATACTGACTCTAACAATAGTTGTGAATGTAGCAAAACAGATCCAGATATTCCCACTAGCATAATAAATGGCCAAATATTTCCACACAATACTAACTAACGTGGCTGACACAATCTGGAAGACTGGTAAAGTCAACAAGAAAGTTAACATTAAATTATATAACATTACAACAGAAGAAGAATATATTGATATAGAAAATTGGAAAACAGAAAGAAAAATCCACCAAAGAAAACATTAGGCGTTATGACAAAAAGTATATCAAATCATGACATGGTCTCACGTGATGTGGTCCCACTCAGAACCATTTTGGTGGCCATTTGTATCTTTGCACTTATTAATAAATGATTTGTTGCTATGCAACAACAATTCATAATGTTACTTATCACAACAAATTTGTATTTGTACCTGCTACAAAGACGAAGTTTGCTCATTCATTGTTTTGGAGAGCACTCCTTTAAATATTAGAACTGAAAATCACAAATGAAGTCATAGACATGTCAATATGTTGTAACCATTGTTAGCTGTATGTGTTGCATACTAGTACATCTGACTGTCTTTGCGTCTTGGCTTAATTGCTTTCCATAGTTTGTCTATTATAACTTACACAGTAATCAGGGAGTCCCAGTGTTCAATGATGAAATCGAATGCTACAGAACTACCAGTCGGCGATTCCCCGACTTGTTGGATTATGTATTGTCCATCGCTTATAATACTGTAGTTCATTGACCAAGACATGTATCTGCAAATACAGTAGACTTAATTTGTAAAATGAGTTTGTAAACAGATATATGTGCATCCATAGTACTGTAAGTATTGACGGGGTATCTATGCACACTACTAGTATTCTTTGCACAATGTCAATATGTATAGAGAATATATTAAACACCTCTACACACAAAAGTGAAAATCACGGGGTATAAGTACATCCTAAATAGATGATTTTCCGTACAATTGCGAGATCTCGCGAGATGCATGAAAGACGCGCGTCGAACGTCTGCCGCAAAAATCGAACGATTTGATTTTGAACTAGAATGTCTTTATTTCGTAGCTTACATTGACCGGCCGATCTTCGATAGAGGAATATTGCTTCCGAATACCCTTACTTAATCGAAATTGTCTATCATCAAATGTGGACAGCACATTATTAAGCATGGAAATGTCCCCGAAATACTTTCGCGTTTGTCGAATCCCACGCGATGTTTGACGCGACTACGACGCTATGACCTTTGTTTGTCCTGTTTTTACGTTCGATTTCATGCATAACGCGTGATTCTCGCAGTGTACGGAAAATGGTCTATTGTTTCATGCAGTCTTACAAATACATATCCAGCACACCACTGCAATGCGCATAGAAGTTTAAAGGGCGGTGGTCGTCGCGCTGCG